CCCCCCCCCCTCTCGGACACACATGTCCAGTCCCCGGGGCATGGTGGCGTACACTCTCCCCAGGGGGGGAAGATTCCCGGGGACGCGCGTGCAGGGAGAAGGGCAAGAACACGCCGCGAGCACGCTCACGAATGTCCTGCCGCCTCCTGCGGGCCCCGGGCGCGAAGCGCATCCTGCGTTCGCCAGCGCAGGGCGTCCTCCCCACCCCCCTCCCCGAGCACGGACCAATACCGGAGACACGCGGCCCCGGGAGATGCACCACAGTCAAGAGCCACACACACACACACATGCATCCCGCCCTTCGGAACGCCAATGCTCTGGCTTCCAAAATCCGGCGCGGCCCGACGGACAGATGGACAGACACACGCCTGAGCGCGATGGGGAGAACACACAGGCACCGGGGGCGGGGGTCATGCCTCGAAAGCGGCAAAATTGGCGCCCCTACACTCTCCGGCGACATGGGAGGGATGCCCCGGCAGTAGGCCCCACATCCGCCTCCGCGGGGTAGACCCCCCCCCCCTGCACCCGCACCCGTCTGCCACTGATCACCCCAACAGGCCGGACATCTGACAGATGTACATGCGCACGCGCCGGCACGGGCAGGGGGGGAGGGGGGGGCAGCCAGGCACACACACACACACACACACACACACACACACACACGACTCGCACACGCACTGGAAACACTCAAACAGACAGACACAGGGATACTCTGGAGAAAGAAGATGCCGCCCTACGCGCCTGCGTCGCCGGCGACATGGGGGGCGGCAAAAGGACAAGCAGGCAAAATGCAGAACGAGCGTCCCCTCCCCCCCGCGCCCCGGCCGAGGAAACAGCCGAAGCCCCGGGGGGAAGGAGGGGGTGGGCATTCCTCGGCAATCATGTGCATCATGCGTACCCTCTTGAACATAATGCTATTCCAGGCTCTGTCTACGGTGCCGCACAAGCGTTGGTATATGGTTGCGTTAAATGGCCCCGGCGGAGAGGCGACCCCGGGAGGGGGAGAGAGGGCCGGCCCGAGAGAGGGAAACACACGCAAGCCCAAAGGAGAGAGCAGGCACCGGGAACCGCACACACGCACATACGCACAGGGCCGAGCCGGAGAGACGAAGGAGAGGGGGAGAGAGAGAGACAGACAGACAGAGATGGAGCCGCGGTCAGGAAGGGGAACGAAACAGATGCCGGGCTGAGGCCATGCCGATGCAAGGGCAGAAGGGGACGTGGTGCCGCGCGACCATCTACGCTGATCCTGCCGCATTTCCCCGGGCCCATGTGCCGGCGCGGCCTCGCGCAAGGGGGAGGATGCACGCACCTTCACGACGGAACAGGCGCAGGGACACAAACTCTCAGGCGGTCAGGCTGGAGGACTTTCGGGTGTCTGCGAAATGGCGGCCGGCATGCGGCATACAGCGGGGGGGGGGGGGGGGAAGGGGAAACACGCCGGACGAGGCGGCGATCCACAACAGGGCGGGGCAGTGGCAGGGCATCGGTGTCAGTGATGCACGCGCGGGCGCGAAATGTCAAGCAAACGCAGCCAGCACAGGCTGCAGGGGAGGGGGGGGGGGGGCCATGATCCAGCGCGGGGGGAGGGGCGGGAGGGGGGAAGGCACGAGAGCAGGGGCAGATCCCGTCACCGGAGCAGTCGTGCACCGACCGGGCGCGGGAGGCGCACGCTGTCCGTCGGCTGGATTTACACCACCTACGCCCGGGAGGAGCAGAGAGGCCCGGCAGGGGAGGGGCAAGCGAGGAAGGCGATGGGAAGGGGGCACGGACGGAGCAGCCACACGGAAAGAAGGGCCCAATCGTGTGACGGAAGGGGAGCGGGCGGACGGCGGCGAAGGGGGAGAAGGGGGGGGAGCGGAAAGCGGAAAGCGGGGGAGAAAGTGTTGGTGAAGTCGTCCTGCTTCGCATCGCAGCCCAAGGCAGCGGCCTGAAATAAAAGACCGGGGGCGGGGGCGGGGGGGGGTCTGGCGTACCTTCCACGGGGACCGCCCCGCTGCCGGCCCGCAATTCGATTGACGAGGGAAGTGGTCCCCCCCCCCCCCTCTCCGGACAACCAAACACCCCCCTGCCCCCTGGGCATAAAGACGCGCCCTCCGCTGGTGGGTGTTGAACACGCGTGGATTGGGGCCACGACCAGGCATGTCTCCCACTGATAGCTCCCAGGCCGGGGGCTGGGGTCGGGGGGGGGGGGGGGGGATAGGCAGGCGGGCGGGCACCAGTGCCCGACGGCGCGCGACGCACCCCGTTCGGCGGCCGATTTGACCAGAAATGGACGCCCCCCCCTCCCCCAGCCATCCTCCCACTGGCAGCCCGGAAGCGCCCCATGTCGTCCACCCCGCCCCTTCCTGGCCCCGCCAGGTGCCCGGCGCAAAGGCCACCGCAGCCTGGGGAGGGAGGGCCGCGGCGAATCGAGTTCAATGTTTTTCCTTCTGGGGGGGGGGGGGGGGGGGGGGGGGGGGGGGCAGGCGGGCACAAGCTCAGACCGGCGGACGCGCCAGAGGCCCTGATATTTGGCCCCTGACCCGCGCCAAGGGGAGACGCCCGCACCCCCTGCACGCCCCGCCCCGCCCCCGCCCCCGGCCCGGCCCGGCCCGGCCCGCCGCCCGGGAGGGGGGGGGGAGGAAGAGCGCCCGCGCGCCCGCTGCATGCCCACACCGTGGCGCGGCGGGCCATCTAGACACACGGCAGCCAGCCAAGAAGGGCACATCGCAATCTAGCCCCAGAAAACACCATGAACCCGGCGCCATGACATGCGGCCCCCACTCATTTCGCCCATTGCAACCCCCCCCCCCCCCCCCCCCCCCCCCCGCTTGGCTGGCCTGGGGCTCGGCCTCCGTACGCCGATCCTCCCCCGGTCGAAGAATGTGCTCCGCCCTTCGAGCGCACACAGGGGCCGGGGGGGAAACGAGGGAACCGGGCCAGGTGCGAGAGGAGGCCAGGGAATCCCCCCCCCCCCCCCCGGCCCCGATGAGATGAGCCCAGGGGCGGTAGGGAATGGTGCGGTTGCTTTGGGCTTCCCCGTCCAGGCGACCCCACCCCCCCACCCCCCCCCCCGGCACAGATGCATGCCCGACACCGGCGCGCCCGCCCGTGTCCGTTCCGCGGCAAAGGGGCCACAGCCCCTCGATGTGTCCACACAACCCAGCCGATGCGCGCGGGCGGGCGCGGGCGCGGGCGCGCGGGGACTCCCGCCAGGCGCCGCGGAGGCCGACAACAAGCACGGACGGACGGGCGGGCGGGCGGGGGGGGGGGGGCAAGGCAAAATTCACATACCGGTCGCAGAAGGGTCAAGCGGGATTTTGGGGAGCGAGCGAGAGCGATTGCTCGTCACGCGCGCGCGATCGCGTGCCGTTGATCACGCCCGGAGGACAGAATGCCAACTCTCCGTGTGCTCGACCGTGCGCTGGGACCGGCCACGCGCCCGCCCGGCCCCGGCGCCGCCGATTCGGCGATCTCGCCCCCGGAGCAAGCGCCGGGCCACCCAGGGCCACACTCACCACTGGACGTGCACCAGGCCAGGACCGGCGGGGGCGGGGGGGGCCGGTGTCACCCCAGGGACAGCCTGTTGCCCTCCTCCTCGCCGGCACATGGCTCGAATCGAGGCATCTAGGCACCGGGCTGCCGGCGGCGCCATCCTCCATCCCCCTCTCACCGCCCTCTAGCTCCCTCTCCCTCTCTTGCCTCCCCACTCCTGCGCCTCTCCTCAGCAAGCCCTCTCGCCCGTCCTCTGTACTGCCTCTCCCCTCCGCATTGGAAGCCCCACACACCCGCAATGGCCAAGTCACAGAGGGCCAAAGACCTTAAGAAGAAGGACTTCCAGGTAGGTTGGTCCTCTTTGCCGGTCCTTCTGCTTGTCCTGGCCGCTTGATCGCCCGCCCATCGTCGCTGTCGTTGGTTTGTTCGTTTGTTTCTTTTCGCTTGCTCACCCATCTTCTACCCATCGCCGGCCGGCAGAAAGCCAAACTTCGCGTCGGCAAGAAGAAGGCCGCTCCCAACAATGCGACCGACGTCAACTTCAAGTCCAAGGGTTCGCCATCGCCGCCATCGCCGCCGTTGCCCCGCTCCCCTGCCTGTCAATGCTCACACACACACATGCACATGCACATGCACATGCACATGCACATGCACCACTTGACACACTGATCGGCACACTTGGCCCTGCGTGTCGCAGCTCTGGTCCTGTCGACCCAGGGGATTGGCCAGGTGAAGGGTGATGTGGTCACCGAAAAGAACCTCACCTTGACGGATCTACTTCAGCAGCTCAAGCACTATAGCCACTTGGTTCGCAAGGGTACATCCACAATCCGGCCCACCAAGGCGCAGCCTCGCCTCATGCCATGCTCTGACCACTCGCTCTCCCCGGCCGCGCCTCGCCGGCTCCCCCTGGCGCACCGCCCTTGCCACTTGCAGAGGCCCTTGTCGGCATCCTCGACCTGCAACAAATGTACCCAGACCGGGTGCAGGCGCACCTGGGCCCGCTGCTGGACAGCCTCTTCCCCCTGGTGCTGGATGAGTCGCGTGGTGTCCGGCGAAACCTGGTTGCCCTGCTGGATGTCCTGTTTGCGGCCATCTCGGCCCACTCGATGTCGCCCTTCTTCGAGCGCATGCATGCCTTCCTCTCGGCCTCCCTGACGCATGTCAATGACTACATTCGCCTGGATGCCCTGCTTCTGCTGGATGTCTGGCTCAATCGCTACCCTCAGGCCGCCTCGGAGCGCTTCGACGAGGTCCATTCCCCTGCATTGCCTTGTGCCAGTCTCCCCATCCCTCTCCCCCATCCTATCCGCCTCCCCCTGCTTCCCCTTCTCCACTGACACACACATCTCCACATCGGCGGGAGAGGGGGAGTACAGATTTTCCCGCTGCTCATCTCCATGCTATCGTCGGATGTCGTGTCCCGGAATGCCCCGACCAAGGCCATGGCGCCGGCACGCGGGAGCGTCCTCCTGACCGGCCCCAATCGCCAGCTCGGCCAGGCCAATGCCCGCGACGCCGTCATGACCACGGTGCTGGGCCTGCTGCGCGTGGCTTTCGACGCCACCGGGCCCGCCAATCCCCAGGCCTCCAGGTGCGTAGCCACATGCGTCCCCTCTCCCCCCCCCCCCCCTCTCTTGGTGGCCATCCGCCCGCGGGGGGTGCATCGAGAGCGCCAGATGCCCACACGCGGACCCGCCCACACTGACACGCGCCCGAGTTTGGCTTCCTCTCGACCGAGCACGAG